TCCACAGCGTATGCACATATCAAAACATCACATTGTATTCTGTAAGTATACACAATTATCTGTCAATTAGAAATAAACATTAAAAAAGAATAGTACTATTACATAGTAAGTACTAGATATAAAACATTGATTAATACTAACTTTGTTTCCTTTGCAGGGACATGGATGAAGCTGGAAACCATCATTCTCAGCAAACTAACACAAGAACAGAAAACCAAACACCGCATATTCTCACTCATAAGTGGGAGTTGAACAATGAGAACACATGGACACAGGGAGGGGAACAGCACACACTGGGGCCTGTCAGGGGGTGGGGGCAAGGGGAGGGAGAGCATTAGGACAAATACCTAATGTAGATGATGGGTTGATGGGTGCAGCAAACCACCACGGCACGTGTATACCTATGTAACACACCTGCACATTCTACACATGTATCCCAGAACATAAAGTATAATTTAAAAATAATTAATTAAATAATGTTTAAAAATGACAGACACTGATAACCTGAAGAAGTATACCAAATTTTTCATAATGGTTTTAGGGGACTAATACACTGGTGAACATATGGACTTCCCAGAGAAAACTGAACCCCAAGTGTTTTCACAGGTGATGCCTGGAAGCAAGCTCACTGACCCTGCAGAACCTCACAAAGGTTCAGGAATTGCAAGTACCATACCTCTTCAGTGGGACGAGCTGGAGAGAGACCATTCAAAGTTCCAGAAGCAGTGAAGACTGCCAGATTTCCTCTCCTGGCAGTCAGGGAAACATTCTCAGTCCCTCATTCCCAAGCTGAAACCTGCAAGACTATTTCTTGTGGGAGATATGGAACCAGGATATGCATTCAGGGACACCACACCCAGCTGAAGGTAAAAATGCTATTATGAAACAGTGGTGTAAGTAAAGGTATGCATGATAATTCAATCTTATTTTATTTGAGACAGAGTCTTTGTCACCCAGGGTGGAGTGCAGTGGCATGATCCCAACTCACTACAACCTCCACCTCCCGAGTTCAAGTGACTCTTGTATCTCAGCCTCCCAAGTAGCTGGGACTACAGGCACTTGCCACCACACCCGGCTAATTTTTGCATTTTTAGTAAAGATGGGGGTTTTTACCATGTTGGCCAGGCTGGTCTCAAACTCCTGACCTCAAGTGATCCACCCTCCTTAGCCTCCCAAAGTGCAGGGATTACAGGCATGAGCCACTGTGCCCGGTGGAGAGTTAATTTTATGTATCGACTTGACTGGACCACAAGATGCCCAGATGGTTAAACAGTATTTCTGCGTGTCTGTGAGGGCACTGAGCACAAGGGATTACCCTCCCCAACGTTGGTGGGCATCATCTTATCCATTCGGGGTCTGAATAAAACAAAAAGGTAGAGGAAGGGAGGAGTCACTCTCTGCTAGACTTCCTGAACTGAATCCTCGATTTTCTCCTGCCCTCCATGATCCTGGTTCACAGGACTTCAAACTCTGGCTGGAATCTACACCACTGACTCCCCAGTTATCAGGGCTTCAAACTACAACATGGGCTTTCTGGGTCTTCAGATTGCAGACAGCAGATTGTGGAGCTTCTCAACCCCCATAAACAGGAGCTAATAGATGGATACAGATATGGGTATCTATTCTTTCTGTTTCTCTGGAGAGCCCTGACTAATACAGTGCATATAATGAAATTATTGAGACTCCCAGACTCCTTCCCACATTGGGCTCCAAGAAGTCTGTATATTCTCAAAGCAAGTAATTAAAAGAGTACTCGCTAGAAGAAAATAAACAGCTGGCCCTTGTCCCATCATCTTACACCTTGTCCAGCAGTGAACAAGCCTTGCCTATGTCCCCAAAGCACCTTTTTAAGAGCATCACGTTTACATATAAATGGACAGCAAGGATCACCACACAAAATGAAGAATGCCTCTAGCAGAAATGACAGGGACCAAATTTAAACAAACAAACCACCAAAAAAGACTCGAAAGAATCAAAGTCAATGCACAGTTATGTAGAAAGCATTGAAAAAACTCTGATTTACATCTTCAGAGATAAAAGGAGTTACATTCATGAAAAAATAATGCAATGCTATGAAAGAACAGAGAATAAAAAGAGCACTTAGAAATGAAGCTATAATAAAAGAAATACAGTAATCTGATAGTCATTTGTTCAATTATGTAGGACTATGAGTCCCACAGGGTCATGGGGTGTCCCTTATGCTGTGCTGAGGTGCAGGATCCGAGAACTAAAGAGACAGGACACTGAAGAACTGGAGAAGAGCAGCCGGACCCGGGGGCCCCGCTGCCTGTGAGTGGAGACAGGCAAGACCCCAAACATCCAGAAGTGTCCATATTTATTGGGTACAAGGCATCGGGGCAGGATCGTGAGGTCATCTATAGACTTAATGACAGGGCATACATAATCATGTGAGTAGCAGGCAAGGAGGCCACCCCATTAGGTCACCTGGGCAGAGAGATGGGCTGGGCGCAGTAGGGGGTCATGCCATGCACAAAGTAGAGGGTCGTGTACAGAAAAGGGGTCCACCCCCATTAGGTCACTGAGGCAAGGAGGTGGGCTGTGCACAACAAGTGTCATGCACAACACTTCTTATCTGGGGGCTGGAGACTTCCAAGGATTTCTAATAGAAGGATACTGTAAGCCAGTGCAGTGGGAGCTGACAGACTTGTGCTCTTCTCTTAAGATATTTATGGGAGGATGATTTGAGCTAACACAGAAGCGAGAAACAGCTGCTGTGACCCCCGGTCACACCAGAGGGGCTCTTCTCCCTCTGTTATTTGTGGGATCTCAGGCCTGAGGCCTACTTTCTACAGGAACCAGATGCAAGGTACTACAACTCCTTTTTCAGGAGGAGAGGCACTTGCTCCAAGCCTGCCATATGCCCTTTCAGGCAGGGATGCCTGGGTCTTTGGTTCTTGTCCTGATCTGGCTGTTTTCCCATGTACTGCTTCTGCTTTGTGACTGTTCTAGGCATTCCTCCTACTACAAACTACTACATGGTTATATAGAAGGATTCTATAAATCGGCACTAAGTGTGTCGGTACAACTCCGACTACAATACCTATATGATTATATAGAATATATATGATTATATAGACTATAATATTTATGACTACATAGAAGATTGTATGAAACTAAGTATGCTAGATATAAGTACTAAGTATGTTTATAGAAGCTAGATACATTAAGCTGTAAGTTATTTTATGATGATATAGAAAAAGGAAATACTGAGTAATAGCACTATAAACTAAGCTATTCTTCAGACACTAATTGTGCCTGGGGTTTCCACAGCTCTCCTTCCTCAGTGTCCATGCTGGGGGTTACCTACACAGTTAAGTTGAAAAAGTCACAGAGAAAGTAAAACAAAAAGATGAATAGATAGAAAATAGGCCAGACAGGAAAGAAAACAAATCAGCCAAGAATGTCCACGATCTAAATAACAAATTTTTTAAAAAGAAGAGATACAGTAAGGTAGGGGGCAGAAATGACCAAATTAATAATACCAGAAGAATTCCCATAACTGAAGCACACGTATTTCTGAATTGAAAAACTGATCAATAGAAACGAGAAAAGACCCATAACCAAGACACTCAACTGTGTCTTAGAACACTGAGAAGAACGAGAAGATCCTAAACCTTCTTGAGACAAAACAAAACAAACAAAAGCTGGTTACGTATCATGAAATTTAGTGACCTGTAAAGGAAGAGGAAATAAACATAATGATGCAGAGTTTCTCAACAATATGTAAGCTAAAATATTGTGGAGCAAGCCCTCCAATATTCTGAGTGAAAGTCATTTTCAATCTTGAACTCTGGGCTCAGCCAGAATAAAAGCAGTTTCAGACATGCAAGCTCTGTGGGAAAAGAAGACCTGGCAGCAACCTCCCTCCAGGAACTATTGGAGTTCTACAACATGAGGGTACATAATCAAGAAAAAGGAAGACCGATTCGGGATCTACAGAACTCATCTCAGGAATGAGGAATAAGACCTTGCTGGGATGAATGTGAAGGAGACCCAAGGGCATCAGTTGAGAGCTGTGCCTTCCAAATTTTGATGTGCATAGGAATTAGCAGGGGATCTTGTTGCAATGCACATACTGATTCAGTAAGTCTGGGAAGGGCCTGAGATTGGTGTGGTTTGTTGTTGTTGTTTGTTTTGTTTGTTTGTTTGTTCTTGAGATGGAGTTTTGCTCTTGTCGCCCAGGCAGAAGTGCAATGGCGTGATCTCGGCTCATTGCAACCTCTGCCTCCCAGGTTCAAGCGATTCTCCTGACTCAGCCTCAGTAGTAGCTGGAATTACAGGCATGCGCCACCACGCCTGGCTAATTTTTTTAGTAGAGACGGGGTTTCTCCATGTTGGTAAGGCTGGTCTCGAAATTCCGACCTCAGGTGATCCGCCCGCCTCGGCCTCCCAAAATTCTGGGATTACAGGCGTGAGCCACCGCGACCAGCTGAGATTTGGCGTTTTCAGCAAACTCCCTCAGGATGCTGAGGCTGCTGCTTCAGGGACTGCACTTTGCATATCAGGGATGTAGAGAAAACACGGTCCAAATTGCACAAACGAGACGACTGCACAGAGACAAACAGAGACAGACATTTATTTCCTTCTCGGTGATAATGGGGAATGAATTAATGTAAGCCAATAACCGTATAGTAGGGGAGGGAGAGGGAGGGAGGAGAAGCTGAAAAGGATGAACATTGTAAGTAAATATAAATGAAGCAAAAACAAGGAAGGGCTGTATTGAGGGCAGCCGTATACATCCAACCTTGCCTGTAGTAGAAACCTGAAGAGGAAGGTTGGACCACCCTAACGGATTCAGATGTAGTAGTCTGGGGGTCTCTAGCGGCCCTGGAAAGTGCACCAGAAAATCTAGCTGCTGGCTACGAGGACAGAAGCCCCTTCCGCACGCCCAGCAGGGAAGTGGGCGGGGCCTCAACGTGCCCGGCGCCGGGTCTCGGGGGCGGGGAATGGGCGGAGCCTTCCCCTCCACTCCCCTCCCTTGGCGCGCCCGGGCGGCGCTGGGATTCGGACTGGAGGCTTTTGAATCCCGAAGCAGGTGGCGGCGCTCGGGAGCAGCAGAGGATCTGGGAATTCTGCTGGTGCTGCAGCTGCAGAATGCTGGGCGGTGGCGGGAAGCGCAGCCCCGGCGGGACAGGGCCGCAGGTACTGCCGGAAAGGCTGTGCGGGCTCCGCGGGCGCTTTGAGCGACAGCCGGGGCACCCGGAGGCGGTGCGTTTCATTCATCCAGTGACTATGCTGCTTGCAGCGTGTCCAGGGGCTGCGGTTGCTGCGAGGATCCTGCCCGGAGCGCTGTTTCGCGCTCTGTAGGGGGGGGTTGCAACAGGAAAGTAACACCTCTGCAGCTTCTGCCCAACTCCTCTTGGCCCCTTTCTTGGGGAAACGGATTAGGAGAACCAACGATTCATTCATTCTCCCAGCCAGGTTGATTGGGAACCGATGACACACCAGACACTGTGCGGGGCGCTGCGGAATCGGGATCAGCCCGGCTGCCCCTGCTCCCTGTAGAGGCCCCGCCCTGGGGAGGAGGGGCCCAAGCGAATACGTATTCTCCTGTGATTGTTTTGTTTAGGATTATAAAGCCGGTGTGTAGAAGGTGCTGTGGAAACACTGAAGGAGGATTTCACAAGTCCCGGGGGTGTTAAAGAAGACTTTTAAGACAACTCTTTGAAAATGTGTTTTGAAGGTCTAGAAGTAAGATTCTGAGACATAATAGTGTAGGAGATGTTTGGGCCAAGCAGAGCGTTCGGGTTGGCTGGCGCTGGGGAAATGGGAAAGTAAAAGGGACCTGATCCTAAAAGCACTACTGACAGGGAAGGAGGAGAAAGTTCGTGCATTGTAGGGCTGAGGGCCCCACAGGGTCGTGGGATGAGCCTTATGCTGTGCTGAGGCGCAGGATCCGAGAAATAAAGAGACAGGACACAGAAGTACAAGGAAAACGCAGCTGGGCTCCGGGGGCCATGCCACCTATAAACAGAGTCAGGCGAGGCCCCGAATGTCCAGAAGCATGAGTATTTATTGTGTATAGGTTAGGGGGCAGGGCAGTGAGTGAAATCATCTTTAAGGATAGTGATAGGGTCGTGAGCAATAAAACATGGGGTCCACCGCCATTAGGTCACCTAGGCCAGGAGGTGGACAGTGCACAGCAAGGGGCCGGTTCCCATGAAAGCAAGGGCAGTGTGCAGTAAGGGGTCGAAGGTGGGCCGTGAGCAGTGAAGAGGGTGCAGTGTGCAATACTTCTATTTATGGGAAACTACTTCTAAGAAGATTTATAGGAGGATGCTTTAAGTCACATAGCAGTGACAGAGCTGTCAAGGTTACCGCCACCTTCTGGCAGCTTCCAATGAGTTGTATGGGAAGATGCTTTTCGAGCGGCATAGTAGCAAGAGCTGATAAATTTCACAGTCACCAAGGTGGATTGCCGGTCTGAGGGCAACCTTCCACAAGAACTGGAGGAGGGTCCTACAACTCCTTTATCAGGAGGAGTGGCTCTCGCCCCAAGCCTGCATACAGCGGGTATCTTTATGATACTGAACGCTGCCGCCTGGACCATGGATTCTTGTCCTGGTATGACTGTTTTTCCCTTAAATCATGCTCTGCATTGTGTCTGCTTTAGGCATTCCTCTCATTATAAGCTGTTTATTCCTTAATTCATGCTCTGTACTGTGTCCACTCTAGGCATTCCTCCGATTATGAACTAAGATATAATTATAGGTATGTATGTAGGGAAATATTCTTTAGGCACTCATACTATCAACTATTATATGATTATATAGAGAGTATTATATAAAGGGATTCGTCAAGCCCTATTTCTATAAACTAATATATGATTATATAAAGGATTATATAAAAGGAAATAGCTGAGTAATAACACTATAAAGTGAGATATTCCTCAGGCCCTAACTGTGCCAGGGTTCTGCTTAGCTCTGATTCCTCAGTGCCTATATGGGGGTTACCCACAGTGCATTCTCTCATACTTCACTAGGATTTCAGAAGTTCTGTAACCCCTACAGTAGCAGTAAGGGGAACCAGGAGGGAAAGAAGTGCCATTGTGTTAACTCAAGCTTGAGAAAAATGACTGTGGCAGTGTTATAAATCGGGCAAGGTGAGGCATTCTTACAAGGCTTGAGTAACTGTTAAAGGGCAAGGGTCTAGGCATTCTTCATGTTGGGTCATGCATTCTAGGACTACCAGGGTCAAGAAGTGCAGCCTCTGAAGGGGAAAGCTGTCCTAAACTCTAGTTGTTAGGGATACGGAGATGCGGAACTGGTGTGTGAGTTCAGGCACAGCTGAAAACATTCTCTCTTTGAAGGTGCAGTGAAGAACTGTTTTGGTGGAGTGATGTACATCACTAGAAATACAATACCAGAAACGAAGATGAGTCTACGGAGACTATAACCATAACGGCCAGCATTTGTGTATTATGTGCTAGGTTCTGTGTATTTTTACATATAACTTATTCCTTGTAACAACCCTGTGATATAGGTACTGTACGCCCTTTTTGCAGATGAGAAAACAAGGCACAGAGAGGTTCAGTAGCTTGCCTCAGGTAGGAAATCAGCTGAGTCAGGAGTCAACCCAGGAACCTCACCATTATGCAAAACTCCCTTTCAGCGAGGCAGAGGAAGCCTTTTCTAACATCTTAAGTTGCAGGCAGTCTTTGAAAGCCTGACCAAAGACACTTAGAAAAACAGAAGATAGGACAGTTCAGGACTTCATAAGTTCCTACTGTGCTGTATTTGCAGTTGGAGAAGCAACATGATAAAATGGTTGAGAATCTGCTATGGAGCCAGATTTAAACCCGAGGTTCAAGCCCTTCTCTTCCACTTCCTAGTTAGGGACTTTGGAAAGTTAACCTCAGTTTCCTCAGCTGTAAGGTGAGATTGACAGTATCTACTGCAGGAGAAAGTTGAGGATTGAATGAGTTAATCCACAGAAGGTGCTTAGAACAGTGAAATAAAGCACCAAATAAGTTCTCAATAAGTACGACTTACTATTTGTTTTTACAATTATATTATCTTTACTATTACTACTTGCTACTATTGATACTCACTTTTGGATTCATTTTTCAACAGCCTTTTTGTTCAACATAATTTTTTAAAAATCAGATGCATTATAATCCTTGGCATAATAAACTGTTGCCATTGTTCAGTTCATTGGTTTTTAACTTCACTTATGTTAAGTAATAGAACAAACATCCGGAACCCTTTGCCCAACTCCCCCAAACTGAAACAGACAATCATTCTACATCTACACGTGTTCCTTCTTTCTGTCACTCATGTTCAATGTAACTATCCTGAATTTCGTTTTTCCTTGCCTTTTACAAATAGGCTTATCTCCTATGAGGGAATATCTAAACAACATTTAAGTTTTTGAACTTCATAAAAAGGCTATCAGGCTACATATAATCAAGAATTTTTTCCCTCATTAAGAATATTTAATATAGATTGGCCCATTTTGTGTAGCCATACAGTAACCATTTGGTAAATGAAGGAGATTGGTTCCAGGACTCCCATATATCCCAAAATCCAAGCATACCCAACTTCCAAATTTGGGCCTGGGGAACCCGAGTATACAAGAAGTCGGCCATCTCCCTAAAGTGGATTTCACATCCAAAGAATATAGTATTTTTCAAATCCGCATTTGGTTGGAAAAAACATTCACCTATAAGTGGGTCCACAAAATTCAAACCCTTGTTGCTCAAGGGATAACTGTAATATTAAGTGTAATAGTCTATTGTTTGGAAGCCTTATAACTCTTCTCCTACCAGTAGGTATTTCATTTGTTCTGTTCAGTTTGCTCTTGGAATCCTTGCCATCATGACCATTCTTCTGTCATTTGACTTCATCAATACATTTTGTAGACACTGAATGATACCTCACATCACATTAATAAACTTAAGCCTACTGGGAAAACGGAAGAATATAAATATGAGAAATATCTATCTCAGAATTTCTCAACTTCAGCACTGTTGACATTTGGGGCCAGTCGTCTTTGTTGAGGATGCCTATCCTGGGCGTTGTAATATGTTCAGCGTCAGCTGGGCACGGTGGCTCATGCCTGTAATCCCAGCACTTTGGGAGGCCAAGGCGGGCGGATCATGAGATCAAGAGATCAAGACCATCCTGGCCAACATGGTGAAAACCCGTCTCTACTAAAAATACAAAAATTAGCTGGGCATGGTGGTGTATACCTGCAGTCCCAGCTACTTGGAAGGCTGCGGCAGGAGAACTGCTCGAACCTGGGAGGTGGAGGTTGCAGTGAGCTGAGATCGCGCCACTGCACTCCAACCTGGCACCTGGTGACGGAGTGAGACTCTGTCTCAAAAAAAAAAAGATGTTCAGCATCCCTGGTCTCTGCCCCACTAGATGCCACTAGCTCCCTTCTTCCAATTTGTTACAACTAAATAGGTCTCCAGGTGTCCCCTAGGGGGCAAAATCACCACCAGTTGAGAACCACTGCTCTTGGTAGGAAGAATAAAAAGGAAAGAACTTAATCCAAAAAGAAAGAATCTGGTTCCTAGAAAGAAAAACAGATTGCTGCTTAGAAAATTTAACATATGGAACCTCCAATTAAGCATAGTGTCTTTACAGAAATGTATCAGATATCTATCAGGCGTTCTAAAACCTAGGGTACTGAACCTGTATTACGGTGGTGCTCGAGACGAGTATTGTAACCTCATCCTGGCATTAAAAGGCCTTTTCCGAAATGATTGGATTTTTGACTTAGAGTTAGGTGCTGTTCTGCTAACTTTGTTAGGAACTATGGGTGTTTAACATTGTCACTAACCTTCCTTCCTTATTTGGAAAATCAAAAGGTTGGTATCTGTGTAAGGCTGAGTCATGATTGTTGTGAACAGCTCAGACACAACTCTGGATGTTGCAGAGGAAACAGGTTTCTAACTGATGAATTGCTTCTATCCGGTTACTTCTGACTATTTATTTCTGGTGTGATCAATGAATCTGTTTGAAAGACACACCTTTAACCAAACGAGGGCAAAACCTGCCCTCTGTTGATTCCTCTCTTCCGGCTCTTTACTATTTCTTTTTTATCTTTTTGTTTTTTATGGTTTCCATTATTTAGAAAAATATATTTAAAGACTTGCTGTGCGGATTCCTTTGAACTACCATATAAACTACTCTATTTTCTGTGCTCAAATGAATTTCCAGATTTTACTCAAATACCATTTAGAGTTTGAAGGAAAACACAGGTATCTCCTAGAGTTGGGTGAACAAGAGTGAGATTGTCAGGCAAGGAAAGTTACTGAAATTACTAAAGATAATATGGAGAATTAGAGTTTTGTGGGCCAATTTTCAGCGTGGAAAAAACAGTTGATGTGAAGAAAAGGAAATTCTGTGAAGTCAATGTCTTCAGTGACCTTCGAAAAGAAGTAGAAAATCATTATAAGTTCTCTTTACCTGAAGATTCCTATCACTTCTGGAAGTTCTGTGAAGACCTTGCTCCTGAAAAGCTAGCTGGTGAGTTGCTCCAGAATCATTCTTGTATGAATGGAAAGAATTACGTAGTAGGCAACAGGCCGGATGTGGTGGCTCACACTCTGTAATCCCAGCTGAGGCAGGAGGATCACCTGAGACCAGGAGTTTGCGACCAACCTGGTCAGCATCGCAAGACTTCTTCTCTACAAAAAAATTAAAAAAAAAAAAAAAACTAGGCATGGTTGCATGTGCCTATCGTCCAAGCTACCTGGGAGACTGAGCTGGGAGGATCCTTCCTTGAGCCCAGTAGTTCAAGGTTACAATGAGTTATGGTGACTCCAGCCTCTGTGACAGAGCAAGAACCTTTCTCTAAAAAATATAATAATTGGCCAGACATGGTGGCTCACACTTGTAATCGCAGGCCGAGATGGGCAGATCACTTGAGGTCAGGAGTTCGAGACCACCCTGGGCAACATAGTGAAACCCTGTCTCTATAAAAAATATAAAACTTAGCTGGGCATGATGGTGCATGCCTGTAGTCCCAGCTACTCGGGAGGCTGAGGCACGATCATAGCTTGAACCTGGGAGGCAGAGGCTGAGAGATTGTGCCACTGTACTCCATCCTGGGTGACAGAGCGAGACACATCTCAAAAAAGAATGCATATATATAATAATTTAAGAAGCCTGACCAAGAATATAAACAGTTCATAGAAGAGGAATATTTTCCAAGATGTTTCTAGTAAGAGAAAATATATAAGAAATGCTATCGTAATGCCACTGTCACCTGTTTTATTGGCAAAGGCAAATAATTTCATCACATTCTGGGAGAATGGGAAGGAAGCAAGCACTTTTATGTGTTGCAGGAGTCTGAGTATGATTTAACAATGCTGCTTCCAAGCACTTTACTTATGGATTACACAAACTAAGAATTACGTTTGAGGATATTTACTTAAACAAAACATGGGAAACGGCTTCAAGGCCTACCAACAGCATATCAATTTAGTAGATCTTCATTGTTTTAAAAGAATGAGGCAGATTTCTAGAAAATAATAAACTACCATGCCTGAAATATGTTAAGTGAAAAAGAATATGCTGCCATTATTATTTAGGGGAAAAAAGGGGGAGAGTACACACATAACCTTGTATACTTTTCTATGTGCTTACTTTGTCTCTGAAAGAATAAACTGTTAACGGGCTGTGATCATTACTTTGCACTACATACCCTTTTGTATTGTTTAAATTTGTTAACTGGTAAGCACTGTCATACGCTATTGAAGGAAATGGATATTGGTACATATTCTGAATTTTGCCAATAGGTCACAACTGTGTTGCGGTTTCTTTAAAAATAGTCATGTCTGTGTACAGGCACTTATTAGCAAAGATGTTCACTGAAACGTTTTTAGAAGAGAAAAAAATAGTAAATGTCCATCAGTAAGAGGATAGATGGTTACCTCTTTATAATGCAGTATCATGCCCTATTAAAAATAATGTAAAATAACATTGAATAGCATGGAAAAATATTGAGAAAATTTAAGTATGGAAGACAGGCGCAGATAACAGAAAAACCGGTCTCAGTTTGTTACATATTTGTATCTGTTTATGGGTGTGGAGAGTATGGATATTTGTTACTGTATACTAGACTGTTAACTGTGTTATCTTTGGCTAATGAGATAGATGGTTTTCGTCTTCTTGTGGCTTTAAAACTTAGTGTATGCTCCCCTAAGCTCCAGTTGAGCCAGGCTACTTTTCCTGTCAAATGATCTCCGTGCTTCTATTCATGGTGTTGCCCCTTCCTGGACTTTTTTGCTTGCTTCATCCTTGCCTCCTTATAAAACTGGGTGCTGCTGCCTGAAGTGCTCCCCTCCCTCTTAGAAGTAGCAAGGACCCATTTGAAGTTATACGTCGTACATTTGCACAGACTTCATGTCTTTGTGGTTTATTAACACTCCCTGTCTGTGATCTGTGAATAGAGAAGGAAGATGGAATCATCTAGGGTTAGGGTTGGCCAAATAGATTGCCAAAGAGTCAAAGGGATCTGGTGTGATTAGCTGAGGTAGAGGAAAGGGGATAGAAATGGTTTTTTTTACTTTTTTTTTTTTTGGAGACAGAGTTTCACCCTGTCACCCAGGCTGGAGTGCCATGGTGCGATCTTGTTTCACTGCAACCTCCACCTCCAGGTTCAAGTGATTCTTGTACCTCAGCCTCCTGAGTGGCTGGGATTACAGGTTTGAGCCACCACACCTGGCTAATTTGTATTTTTAGTAGAGATGGGGTTTTGCCATTTGGCCAGGCTGGTCTCGAACTCTTGACCTTAGGTGATCAGCCCTCCTCAGCCTCCCAGAGTGCTGGGATTACAGGTATGAGCCACTGCACCTGGCCTGTTTTTTAGTATTAATCCACACATTTTTGCTATCTATCTTTCTCTCCCTTAACCTGATATACTACAAATATTTGAGGCTAACCACAGTGTGGTAATGGGCCTATGGGAATACAACCAGTCTTGCTTTGGCTAAAATAAGAAACAACAGAAATGTTTGAAATGTGAAGCTAATTCAGTGGTAAATTCAGAGGAAATGCTAAACCTAAATGCTGCTTTTCTCTTACTCTGACTTCTTTTCCATTGAGTGTTTATAACTGACATCTTCACACATAAGTCAAGATTTTCTTTTACTTTAGAAACTTTTTAAGACAATCGCTTAGAAGTAGTTTACTAACTAAAAGGATTATTTCCTATTAGAAAGTATTGTCTAAATTTATTTTCTTTCTGGATTCACTTTCTGCAAGTCTTAGACTTCAGTTAGTTGATTTTTATGATATCCCTGCTGGAAAACATAAAATGAAGAAAAAATCGACAGGCCTGAATTTTAACCTTCATTGGAGGTTTTACTGTGATCCTCCCGAGTTCCAGTCCATTACTATCAGAGATAAGAAAACTCAGTTTCACGTGGGGTATTTCAGGTAAAGGATCTTTTCTTTCTTTGGTTTTTTTTTTTTTTTAATCGACATTTTTTTTCTTCTTTTTTTGTTCCTGTTTCTTTTTTATTACATTTTATGTTTTGGGTTCCATTTGAAGAACATGCAAGATTGTTGCATAGGTACACACATAGCAGTGTGATTTGCTGCCTTCCTCCCCATCACCTATATCTGGCATTTCTTCCCATGCTATCTCTCCCCAACTCCCCACCCCCCGCTGTCCCTCTTCTATTTCCCCCCCGACAGACCCCAGTGTGTGATGCTCCCCTCCCTGTGTCCATGTGTTCATTGCAGCACAGTTTACAATAGCAAAGACCTGGAACCAACCCAAATGCCCATCGATGATAGGCTGGGCAGGGAAAATGTGGCACATATATACCATGGAATATTATGCAGCAGTCAAAAATGATGAGTTCGTGTCCTTTGTAGGGACATGGATGAATCTGGAAACCATTATTCTCAGCAAACTGACACAAGAACAGAAAATCAAACACTGCATGTTCTCACTCATAGGTGAGTGTTGAACAATGAGAACACAAGGATCTTTTCTTCACCTCTAGAATACAGCTGCTGTCCTGCCAATGAGGACAAATAGTTTCTCACTAGCCTCACCCAAGATGAAAGGCCTGTTTTCCCCTGTTGGTGGATATATGAACCATCTGTTGTTCTTGCTGTTACCATTTTGATCTTTCCTAGGATAAGTAAACTCTTTTTTTTAAATATACTGACCATATATTTTTTGCCAGTGATAAAATTCAAGGTTTCGAACAAAAATTAGATTGAGAAACTTGTAATACCACTGTGAGCTCAATAGCATTTTTTCCATGATATTATGTAATGGAGTGAATTTGATATGTAAGTTTCAACATGTACATCTATATAACTTAGTGAACCACTATTTCCAAAGAGCATTGCATGATGCCGTATCCCATGCATGGGTACAAATTCGTTTGTGTTCAAGGCAGTCTAATGGACTTAAAGTCACAGCACAAAGTGTTTATGTTCATGGTTATGGCTTCAGTTGCACATTGTACCTTATCTTTGTTTTTTGTTTTGGGTTTGTTTGTTTTGTTTTTGTTTTTTATTTATTTATTTATTTTTTTTTTGAGGTGGAGTGTCGTTCTTGTTGCCCAGGATGGAGTGCAATGGTGCGATTTTGGCTCACAGCAACCTCCACGACTTGGGTTCAAGCAATTCTGCCTCAGCCTTCCGAGTAGCTGAGATTAGAGACATGTGCCACCATGCCCAGCTAAGTGTGTATTTTTAGTAGAGACAGGGTTTCTCCCCATTGGCCAGGCTGGTCTTGAACTCCCAACCTCAGGTGATCCACCCGCTTCAGCCTCCTAAAATGCTGGGATTACAGGTGTGAGCCGTGCCTGGCCCATTGTACCTTATCTTTAAGCATCACACAGCAAAGTGTTATAGTAGGTGTAGGCAGAGACAAAAACTTACAGAGATAGTCACAATAATGTGATATGTGTGGGAAGGCAACTACCAAGTGCCTTCAATAGCGGCAGAGGTAAAAGAGGATATTTTATGTCGGCTTTGATGGATGCCTAAGGACTTACTAGAAAGAATGAGAAGAAGAATGTTTTAGGTAAGGGAGCAGTGTGTGTGTGAGAGTGGAAATGCGTGGCACAGGGGGCTTGAATGGCTATATGCCATGCCAGAGTATTGAGGAAGACTGTACAGATTGATTCACATGACATGATCACATTTGCATTTGATGGTTGATATAAACAATCCTCTAGACATACAGCTGATCATAATTGAAGGTAAGGTTTAGTGTAACTGTGTGCTGTAATCAGAAGTTAGGTTTTGGTGGCTTGGGTTTCTGTGGCACTTCAATCTACCTGCTCTACTGATAACTCTACTGGTTTAATCTTCTAGCGCTCTGAACTTGGGTAAGTTGATTGTCCTCTGTGCCTTTTTTTTTCTGATAAGTAAAATGAAGCTAAGACTAGCACACACTATAAATCTTCAAAGCCCTTTGATAACAGTGCTGTAGGGAATGCTAGAAACTCTCAGTTGTCAGCAGTGAATCATGAGTTTCTTCCTAGGAGTTGTTACTCCCTGCAACTTTCTTCCTGGGGGTCTGGCAGGCCCTTCCCGCTCTTCATTTCACTCTTGACCTTTTATATGGATGGCCAAATCTTAACCTGCTTATGATAAAATAGCAAATTATTTCTGTAAGTGGCATTCACGTGCTGTATATTCACACACTTTTGAAAACAACTTTGGATTATGCTTTTGTGTAAGATTACAAAGTAGCTCTGCTTTCCTTTCATGTTTTCTAAATTTTTCTTAACACAAATTTCAACCTTATAAAAAAAATCTGTTGACTTTAAATGTTATTATAACAGGATTCTCTGTCTCTTTAAAAAAAAAAAAAAAAACTAATCCCAGCACTTTGAGAGGCTATGGTGGGCAGATCACCTGAGATCAGGAGTTCGAGACCAGCCTGGCCAACATGGTCTCTACTAAAAACACAAAAATTAGCCAGGTGTGATGGCACATGCCTGTAATCCCAGCTACTCGGGAGGCTGAGGCAGGAAAATCATTTGAACTGGGAGGCAGAGGTTGCAGTGAGCTGAGACCCTGCCATTGCATTCTAGCCTGGGCAACAAGAGTGAAACTCCATCTCAAAACAAAAAGTTTCTTTTTGAGACAGAGTCTTAGGCTGGGTTCAGGTAATTCTTGTAGCTGTGAATACAGATGTGTGTGCCACACCAGGCTGAGTTTTGTATTTTTAGTGGAGTCAGGGTTTTACATGTTGGCCAGGTTTGTCTTGAGCTGCTGACCCGAGTGATACCCCCACCTCAGCCTCCCAAAGTGCCGGGATTACAGCCGTGAGACACCACGCCTGGCCCCTGAAACATTTTTTTTGATGTCTACTTTTTCTGTTAGGTCAGACTTCTCCATAGTAGTATGCCATATCTTAGTGTCAAGTGATACAACTTAAAACTTGACCAATCTCAGCTTTGTAAATATCCCTTATTTCTTTATTAGAGTACTAATATGAATTCGAATCATATCTGTTCTTTCTGTGACTGCCATTTTTTAAATTAATATTGCTTTTCTCATTTGAAGAAAACTGTTAGGAATTTTGAAAGAAGTGTTGGTAATTGTTCTGTGGACTTATTCTTGCATGGAACTTGACATGTTTAACTTGGCTCAACTCCCTAAAGTCTTTGCACTTAATACAGTGGCCTGCCACATAATGAGGACTTCTACTTCTTTTTAAATTATTTTTTAAGAAAAAATCTTAAAGAAGTAACAGATAAAAAAGAAAACCAATCACTTGAAAAACATCGATGAGAAACTCACAGAAGCAGCCAGAGAACTGGGGCCCTCACTGGCAGGGAAAACCATGAAGTTGAAACAGAGACAGAAGAAAGCATGACTTCAATCTGTTGGCCTCTGTTTTGCTATTTAGCAGATTTTATCCCCCCTCTTGATTCCTTCTTGTCTCTATTCTATGCTTCTCTTCTGTAGCCCTAACTGAAGAGCTGGATGCTGTCCCTCCTGGGTGCTAGGAGGATGCCACTGAAACAGGCGTCAGATGGCTCCTGTGGGTTGGTACACTGGTTGAATTGCATAACTACTGGTATCGCTGCTGTGGTTGAATAACTCAGGCCAGTATTTGCCACTCTTTTAATCTTGTTTATCAGTTAATCACTTCATAAAGTTAATGGAAGTTTCTTTGTGCATAATGAAATTGACACACGTACGTTTTCTCCAGTAAACGTGTCTATAAGCCGTGCTTCCTTTTCCTTCTTTATCCCATCATTTCCTTTTACATCTCTCGTAATGTCTGCAGTGCAAGGGGATTATTTTGCAACGGAGCAAATACTTCCTAGTGTTGGATTCCTTTGGTTTTTCAGCTATAGATTTCAGAGTAAGTTAATGATGAGCTGGAAGATTTCTGCTTTGGAGTAAATGAGAATTCTATAGGAGTTTTTTCTTATGGTCTCTGAGGGAAAGAAACATTTGTTACTGGAATTAGGGCTCCCCAGACCCCTCCAACCTCTCACTGTCTGCCCTTGCTGGTTCATCTGAATGTTCTAAGCTACATGGAGAACTTGTTATTCCTTAAACTAGCACTGGTAATGAAGGACCTTAGTGTACTTAGGTATGAAATCTTCAGTTCCCTCTCTGATGTTGATTTGGCTTCAAGGATGACATTCTGATAAGTTCTAGGCACGCTTTCTTTAGTCCTATACACTGGAAACTTGCTTAAAACGTACATGTTAATGAAACTCATTACAACATGACATTTTAAAAAGTAAGATTTTATATGGCCATTTACCTTTCTGGTTTTCATAGGAAGCTTCTCCCACCTTTTAACGAGGAGGAAGGGTCGAATTTGTAGTCTAGTTAATCCCCCTTTGTTTTGACTAAAGTCTGAACATCCAAACACATAACAGCTATTAGCAAATTATTTAATCAGTCTTTATTTCTACCACAAGCTATAATTTGTTTCAGATTAGATTTTCTTAATTCTTCCCCATAAATAAGATATTATTGAGGTTTATATTTCATAGATATTTTTGTCCTAGACCCTGCCCCATGAAGTTTTATTTTAGTATTTGTTCTTTATCCAAAAACAGCTGGTAAAAACAAAGGCAAAAAAGAACTTACAAGACAATCTTGTTTTTAATCCTCCCTGTGGATGAGGATACTTTCAAATCCTTTTCTGTTATATATAAGCTTGTTCTTTTATTGTTTTTGTGAGATCTTCATTTAATTCCAATTTTTCTACTGAAGAATTCAACTCCACTAGTATATGTGAGTCAGTGGCTTCCCCTTGGTGTGAGTGTAAGAATATGTCCACTCTAGTATGATAGAGCCTGCACAGCACACTAGAAATCGTGTTTTTATACTGACAGTAACTTAGCACACTTTGGAGGGCAGAGTTGTTGTGAGTTACACCATTTGACTCCCTACAACAAATCTCCAAAGTTGGAATTATCACCCTATTTTATAGATAATGAAATTGATGGTTGTAGAGGTTTTGAGTCTTGTCCAAAATCTTAAATGATGCATACAAAACCCAGCTTCATATTTTCCATATTTAGCATTCTTTCCATCTCATCTTCTTACTAATTGGTTCTCTTCCACTTCACCTTTTCCATACCTAGATTTCTTCCCAAGGAACATTGGTTCAATGATGCATAAAATGTCGGTGTCACTCTATCCGCCTGTGATTTGATGCTTCAGATATCACCCACCCCATACAGTGGACACCCCATACAAATGACAGATTCTTCCATAAGATGACAAAATTTGTCACCTTATTCTTCATAATAAAATTACGATTCTGATGACTTCCTAATTGATACCTCTTTATGGACAATTAGTACAGGTAATCATCCGTGAAAAATCTGAACATGTACTATGTGTTGTTCAGCCCGAGTTGGCAACTACAGCCCTGTTGTCTTTTTCTTTCATTATCACGCTTTATGTCCTGCTTTTTACACCTATGAATACGTTATGTCTATCATTTCATATTGCCAATTTAAGGTCTACCTCCTAATGTTGAGTGGCTGCAGAATACTGTGCTTATGTTCAAAGTTTGGGTTGTTTAAGATTTTTCACAAATACAGACAACCCTGCCATAGATATCCTTTTATACCTTTATTTGCATACTTATCAGGGTTTTTTTTTAGAATAAATTCCTAGACGTAGTGTTGCCAGATCCAAAGTAGTTTGTGTATGTGTGTGTGTTTCTGTGTGTGTGTGTTTCTGTGTGTGTTTCTATATGTGTGTGTGTTTCTATATGTGTGTATTTCTGTGTGTGTGTTTGTGTGTTTCTACATGTGTGTGTGTGTTTCTGTGTGTGTGTTTCTATATGTGTGTATGTGTGTTTGTGTGTGTATGTGTGTGTGTTTGTGTTTGTGTGTGTGTTTCTATATGTGTGTGTTTCTATATGTGTGTATTTCTGTGTGTGTGTTTGTGTGTTTCTACATGTGTGTGTGTGTTTCTGTGTGTGTGTTTCTATATGTGTGTGTATGTGTGTATGTGTGTGTGTGTTTGTGTGTGTTTGTGTGTGTGTTTCTATATGTGTGTGTGTTTCTATATGTGTGTATTTCTGTGTGTGTGTTTGTGTGTTTCTACATGTGTGTGTGTTTGTGTGTGTTTCTATATGTGTGTATGTGTGTGTATGTGTGTGTGTTTGTGTGTGTGTTTCTATATGTGTGTGTGTTTCTATATGTGTGTATTTCTGTGTGTGTGTTTGTGTGTTTCTACATGTGTGTGTGTGTTTCTGTGTGTGTGTTTCTATATGTGTGTGTGTGTGTATGTGTGTGTTTGTGTGTGTTTCCGTGTGTGTGTTTCTATGTGTGTGTGTTTCTATATGTGTGTGTGTTTCTGTGTGTGTGTGTTTCTGTGTGTGTGTGTGTGTGTGTGTGTGTGTGTGTAGTTTTTCTTTCCTGGTTTCTAATTTTGCAGGATTTTCTTTAGTCTTTTTAGTTTTTTCCATACTGGTAGGTATAAAATTCTGCACTGTTTTAATTAGCATTTCTTTAATTATAAAGAATGTTAAATATTTTTCACTTCTCTGTTAGCCATTGTATTTTTTTTAACTGCCTGAACTCTGCCCATTTTTCCATCAGGGTTAGAATTTGTCTTTTTGTATATGTGTTGCAATTTGCATATTAGTCTTTTCCTTTGTTAGACTTCCTTATAGTTTAAAGACATTAATTTTTATTTACTGTTCTACTTTGCAGATCTATTTTATCAGTTAATTTGTCTTGTCTTCTTGACTTCACTAGATGGAATTTTTTTCAATTATTATACTTTAGGTTCTAGGGTACATGTGCAGAACTTGCAGGTTTGTTACATAGGTATACATGTGCCATGATGGATTGCTGCATCCATCACCCCATCCTCTACACTAGGTATTTCTCCTAATGCTATCCCTCTCTCAGCCTCCCACCCACCAACAGGCCCCAGTATATGATATTCCCCTCCCTGTGTCCATGTGTTCTCATTGTTCAACACCCACTTATGAGTGAGAACATGCAGTGTTTGGTTTTCTGCTCTTCTGTTATGTTTGCTGAGAATGATGGTTTCCAGCTTCATCTATGTCCCTGCAAAGAACATGAATTCATCCTTTTTATGACTGCATAGTATTCCGTGGTGTATATGTGCCACATTTTCTTTATCCAGTCTATCATTGGTGGGCATTTGGGTTGGTTCCAAGTCTTTGCCATTGTAAGCAGTGCCACAATCAACATACGTGTGCATGTGTCTTTATAAAATAATGATTTGTACTCATTTGGGTATATACCCAGTAATGGGATTGCTGGGCCGAATGGTATTTCTCTTTCTAGATCCTTGAGGAATCGCCACAGTGTCTTCCACATTGCTTGAACTAATTTACACTCCTACCAACAGTGTAAAAGCCTTCCTATTTCTCCACATCCTCTCCAGCATCTGTTGACTCCTGACTTTTTAATGATCACCATTCTAACTGGCATGAGATGGTATTTCAATGTGCTTTTGATTTGCATTTCTCTAATGATCAGTGATGATGAGCTTTTTTTCATATGTATGTTGGCTGTATACATGTCTCCTTTTGAAAATGTCTGTTCATATCTTTTACCCACTTTTTGATGGGGTTGTTTAAGTTCTTTGTAGATTCTGGATATTAGCCCCTTGTCAGATGGAGAGATTGCAAAAATTTTCTCTCATTCTTTTCATGCTAATGATAGTTTCTTTTGCTGTGCAGAAGCTCTTTAGTTGAATTAGATCCTGTTTGTCTGTTTTAGCTTTTGTTGCCATTGCTTTTGGTGTTTTAGTCATGAAGTCCTTGCCTTTGCCTACTTCCTGAATGATATTGCCTAGGTTTTCTTCTAGGGTTTTTATGATTTTGGGTTTTACATTAAAGTCTTTAATCCATCTGGAGGTAATTTTTGTATAAGGTTAAGGAAGGGATCCAGTTTCAGCTTTCTGCATATGGCTAGCTAGTTTTCACAACATCATTTATTAAATAAGGAATTCTTTCACCATTGCTTGATTTTGTCAAGTTTGTCAAAGAGCAGATGGCTGTAGATGTGTGGCATTATTTCTGAGGCCTCTGTTCTGTTCCATTGGTCTATATCTCTGTTTTGGTACCAGTGCCATGCTGTTTTGATTACTGTAGCCTTGTAGTATAGTTTGAAGTCCGGTAGCGTGATCCCTCCAGCTTTGTTCTTTTTGGTTGGGGTTGTCTTGGCTATGCAGGCTCTTTTTTGGTTTCATACGAAATTTAAAGTAGTTTTTTCCAGTTTTGTGAAGGAAGTCAGTGGTAGCTTGATGGGGATAGCATTGAATCTATAAATTTCTTTGGGCAGTATGGCCATTTTCATGATATTGATTCTTCCTAACCATGAGCATGGAATGCTTTTCCATTTG